TTCTATAGCGCTCACTTCTATAGTGCTCACTTTGAAATTGTGGTCCGGAAGGGGCCGCACATGCAGGCACATGCCGCACAGTCGCATGCACATGCCCATGCAAATATACAAAAGCCTCAACAGCATTGCCGCACATGCGCGCACATGCCACACCGTCCGACGCATAGTCGAATGCACGGTCAAGCAAAACTCTGAAAGCATAGACGCACATGCCCGCACATGCCGCAGAGATGTCGCAGGCGATAGTGGCCTGACCACCTGAGCTCGGGGCATTTCGCAACCCAGAGTTCCGAGGATGTCTCAGGCAAGCGTGGCCGGATCACCATGGGGCAGGGCATCTTGTAAACCAGAGTGGCGAGGATGTCGCTGGTCAAGGTGACCAGACGACCATGGGGCAGGACACCTCCGAGGTCTGAGTTGTGAGGATATCTCAAGCGAAAGTGGCCTGACCACCATGGGGCAGGAGATCTCTGAGGTCAGAGTTGCGAGGATGTCTCTGGGGAGAGTGGTCTGACCACCTCAGCCCAGGGCATCTCGGAGCCCAGAGTTGCGAGGATGTCTCAGGCAGGACTGGCCTGACCACCTGCTCAGAGCATCTCAGAACCCAGAGTTGCGAGGGTCTCAGGCGAAAAAGGCCGAGACACTATGGAGCAGGGCATCATTGAGGTCAGAGTTGCGAGGATGTCTCAGGCAAGTGGCCTGACCAGCTCAACCCAGGGCATCTCGGGCGAGGATGTCTAAAGCGAAAGTGGTCTAACCACCTCAACTCAGGGCGTCTCGGAACCCAGAGTTCCGAGGATATCTCAGGCGAAAGGGGCCGAGACACTATCGAGCAGGGCATCATTGAGATCAGGGTTGCGAGGATGTCTCAGGCGACAGTGGCTGACCACCTCAGCTCGGGGCATATCGGAATCGAGACTTGCGAGGATGTCTCAGCCGACCGTGGCCTGACCAGCATGGGGCAGGAGATCTCTGAGGTCAGAGTTGCGAGGATGTCTCATGCGAAAGTGGTCTAACCACCTCAGCTCAGGGCGTCTCGAAACCCAGAGTCCCGAGGATGTCTCAAGCGAAAGTGGCCGGGCCACCAGGGGGCAGGGCATCTCCGAGACCAGAGTTGCGAGGATGTCTCAGGCGAAGGTGGCCAGATCACTTCATGTCAAAGCACGTCGGCCTCCAAATTGCCGACGACGTCTCACGCGGAACTGGCCGGACGCGAACGCGCCGGCGTCCGGAGACGAACGCAGGCCCCGGCATTCTTGCACGTCCCGCACATGCACTGCACAGGTACGCACAGTATTCGCACAGGCCGAGCTCGCCGGTGGCCGAGCAAGGCCAGCGATTCCGAGATTCCCTGAGCTCGGGCCGTCAAGCCACTTTCGCCTGAGACAGCCTCGCAACTCTCACCTCCTCCTCCTCCTCCTCCTCCTCCTCCTCCTCCTCCTTCTCCTCTGGCCGAGCCGAACAAGCAGGCTGGCCAGTGGCCGGGGGCGCCCGCCTCCTCCGCCCCCCCCTCCTCCCCCCCCACTCCACCTCCCCCCCCCCATCCCTGCTTCTCCGGCCGAGCTGAGAAGGCGCGCGGGAGAGTATTTTATTAGGCGGGCGCGCCACCGCCAGCTCACGAACCGGGCGAATAACCGCCCCCGCCAGCAGCGGGCGAGTCCAAACGCACAACAAACTCTTTCAGGAAACCCTGGCACGCCCCAGGTTAGCTCTGCGAAGGCCAGGAGGCATTGGAGGCACAAGGGTCCCAGACAGCTCCTAGGGCATGAGCGTGCATGTGCATTGGGATGTGCACGCATGTGCGCCCGCGCGCTTCACCGCATGTGCGTGCATGTGCGGGCCCGCGCGGCCTCCCGAAGAGAGGTTGCACAGGCATGTGCGTGCATGTGCCGATGACAGATCTGTGATTCTCGAACACCTCCCGCATGTGCAGGCATGTGCGCGCATGTGCGTCGGACTGTGCGCGCATGTGCGTATGATGGATACATCAAAACACAGCGCACATGCCCCCGCACATGCCCGGGCACGACGTGCACAGTAGGAAGTCCATCCAAGAAAGACCGCACAGGCCTGGCACATGACTGGCACATGCCGCGCACATGCGCGCACATGACAGCGCAAAAACGGCCGCACATACACCCACCCAGGGGTATAGATGTGAGTGCGGTGTAATGCTTTTCGCGACCCTCCTCGTTCAAGCGCGGCCTCTCTGGAGGAGTGGAGGGGGGACACGAAACCGTGTAAACTGCATTGTTTTCCGATACCCTCCTGGAGGAGGCGGAGGAGGAGGAGGAAGGAGGAGGAAGGTATCGGACTGCACTCCTTTCCTGCATGGCCCACGTGTCCCTCCTCCTCCTCCTCCTCCTCCTCGTCGTCCTCCTCCTCCTCGTCCTCCTCATCCTCGGCATCATCATCATCATCATCATCATCATCATCATCATCATCATCATCATCATCATCATCATCATCATCATCATCACCACCACCACCACCATCATCATCATCATCATCAGCATCACATCATCATCATCATCATCATCATCATCATCATCATCATCATCATCATCATCATCATCATCATCATCATAACCATTATCATCATCATCATCATCATCATCATCATAACCATTATCATCATCATCATCATCCTCATCATCATCATCATCACCATCATCACCATCATCCTCATCCTCATCATCATCATCATCATCATCATTATCATCATCATCATAATCATCATCATCACCAGCAGCGTCGTCGTCATCATCAGCATCATCGTCCTCATCATCAGTATCATCAGTATCATCATCATCATGACCATCATCATCGTCAGCATCATCGGCAACATCATAACCATCATCATCATCATCCTCATCATCATCAGCATCATCATCGTCAGCGTCATCGTCATCATCATCATCATCATCGTCGTCGTCGCCATCATCGTCATCATCATCAGCATCATCGTCATCAGCATCGTCATCATCATCACCATCCCCGTCCTCGGCATCATCATCGTCCGCATCATCGTGGACGTCATCATCATCAGCATCATCGTCGTCATCATCAACAGCACCAGCAACGTCAGCATCAGCAGCAGCATCGTCATCATCACCAGCACCTGCATCATCATCCTCGTCATCGTCGTCGTTGTCATCATCGTCATCGTCATCATCAGCATCGTCATCATCATCAGCATCATCATCATGATCGCCGTTATCGCCATCGTCATCGTCCATCAACATTATCGCCATCGTCATCGTCATCGTGGACGGCAGCATAGCCATCGTCATCACCATCATCATGATGAAGCCTTCCTCATCGCAGAACTCCCCCTCCTCACCCTCCTCAGTGGGAGGAGTAGGACGTGAGATGGATAGGTAATGTTCCCCCCTCCTCCTCACCCACGTCAGTGGGAGGGGCACGAAACCATGTAAATAGCATGGGTTTCCGATACCCTCCTCGCTCAGGCGGGGCCTCCCTGGAGGGGTGGGAGGGGCAAGAAACCATGTAAATAGTATGGTTTTCCGATACCCTCCTCGCTCAGGCGGGGCCTCCCTGGAGGGGTGGGAGGGGCACGAAACCATGTAAATAATGTTGGTTTTCCGATACCCTCCTCGCTCAGGCGGGGCCTCCCTGGAGGGGTGGGAGGGGCGGGAGGCGGGAGGGAGAAGGAGAGGACGTCCTGGGAAAACAAGAACCCCACTCAGGATGTGGGGAACTGACAACAACTGCCCCCCCCCCCCTTCCCTCAGAGTCAGAGCTGGGCTGGGCCTCGCGGAGGCCCTGGGGGCTGCCCTCGAGGCACATGAAATGTCGGACGTCCCCGCGCAGCTCCCCACCCTGTATGAGCTGAGACATCAAGCCCATCAAACAGCAACGCCTTCGGCACGCGGCGTTTGGGATGATCTCCCGAGACTCCCTCGCTCCCACCCTTCCCACTTCCTCCTGACGGGAGTCGGGGGGTCGCGTTCAACGTTCGCCACGTGCTCGACGAATTCCGAACCCTGCCCCCGCCGCCCGTGGAGATGCCCGGATCTCAGATCGGCGCGGGCAGGGTTCGGATTCCGCCGCCGCCTTCCTTCTTGAGCTGCTTTCGGCTCTCCCTCCCCCTCCGCCCCGCCCTTGCCCCCCGCCCCTGCCCCCAGACCTCCCGCAGACCCCCGCCCTCTCCCTCCGGCGCTGCCCGCATCCTTCCTTTTCCGCCTTTGCCTTGTCCCTCCTAGGGGCGGAAGGGAGGGAGGGAAGGAGGGAGGGGAGGAAAGGAGGGAGGGGAGGGAGGGGAGGGGGGGAGGCAAGCTGGGTGCGCTCGCGTCAGATCTGACGTCCGACCCCTCCCTCCCATCCATTACCATGGCGTAAATATCCTCTCTATTCGCACAGTCGGATGTCGAGCAGGACAAAGATCGCGAGAGGGTACGCGATGCATGGTAGAGCACGGCATGGCATGGCGTAGAAGAGCACGGCAGAGCGTAGCATGCCATAGCATGGCGTGGGATTGCGCGGTGAAGCATTGCATCACAAAACGTTGCAACGCAAGCATGGTATCGCACAGAGGCGCAGAATACAATACTGCACAGCATGTCATGGCATGGCTTGGTTCCTTGGAGGGTAAGCGGATCATCTTCGAGAGGTCTGGGCCGGTCAGGAGTCGTGGCTCCATGTCTAGCTCCTTGGGCTCCCCAAAAAGTTCCACACAAAGCGGGGCTGATAGAGAGCACCCGCTGGCTCTACTTTCAACATCACCTTCTCAAAGCAGAAGGCTTCTGCGGCCAAAACAATTCAACGAATCGACACCGAATGTGTAATCACTTCCGATGGTCTTTTCGGGGGGCCATTTTCTAGATTCTGGAGCTTATTTGGAAGGACCGAAAACGCCCGCGCTGCAGCGGGAACACGAGTTGGAAAAACCAGAGGCGCAAAATGGGGCCAGCGCTTCAACGGGAGTTCGTCGTGGGGAAAAAAACAAACGAAAACCCATTTCCCGGAATCCTGTGTAAACAAACATACGCGGAGGGGGACCAAATATCTTCTGGACGTCGTCAGGGGAGAGAGGAGAGTATATTCATATTGTGTAATTGTGGAGGGAGGGAGGGAGGGGGGGGAGGGAGGGAAGGGAGAAAAGGAGGGGAGGGAGGGAGGGAGGGAGGGAGGGAGGGAGGGAGCCAGCTGGCAGCTGGCTCCTCCCGCGCCTGCCAGAGGACCCCCGCCAGCCAGACGCGCATGTCTGCAACAACCTCAAGCGCCGCCTCTGCGCGCCAGTCTGCCCACCTGGGTCCCGCTGTTAGCACCGCCGCCAGGACGGGAGTCTCTGCAACGAGCCCCTCGACCCGCACGGCTGGCACGCACTCAAGTGCGAGGTGGGCGCGTCGCGCAACAACCGCCACAACAGTTGTCGCGACTGGCACTCAGGCGAAGCACAAGGAACTCACTGGCTCAGCGGCGCCCACGGAACAGGCCGTCCCGGCCTGGGACCGCCACCACCCCCGCACGGGCGAGCTCCAACAGGCAGTGCTCGACCTTTCCACTACCGACCCAGCCAACGGCCGCCAGATCTGCATCGACTGGAGCATCACCTGCGTACACTCAACCTACGCTCCACGCAGGGGTGCCCGGGCCGAGAGAGACGGGCTGGCGTGCAGGCGGTGGAACAGAAGCGAGAGCGCGACCCTCCCCACGAAGAAAAACTGGTCCCCCTGGTCTTCGAGCCGGGGGGGCGGCCCAGCGACGAAGCAGCCAGCTCCGTCCGCAGCTACGGAGCCGGCTTAGACGACGCCGACCGCTCCGAGCTGCTGGGCGGCCTCAAGCGGCAAATCAGCAGGACCCTCCAAAGGGAGAATGCTGAGATGCTGCTGAGCGCGCTCGGGCGCTGGGCCACCACGACAACGGCCGGCGCCAGCACGACAGCCGCCGCGGCGACACGGGGACCGCCACCAGCACGACGACCACCACGGCCACCACCACTGCGACCACGACAACACGGCGACGCCGGGACCGCCACCAGCACGACGACCACCACGGCCACCACCACTGCGACCACGACAAGAGCCGCACGACGACGACCGCCCCGACCCCCCCCCCCTCGGCACCCACCCCTGCTCCCGCGGCGTCGACGTCTTCGCCCCCCCACGACTTCTACGACAACCCTATCCGCCCCCCGTGCCCCCGCCGCTGCTCCCTCTTCCCCTCCTCCCCCCTCGCCTGGCCGCCCCTGCTGCTGCGCTCCTCCTCCTCCTCCTCCTCCTCCTCCTCCTCCTCCTCCTCCTCCTCCTCCTCCTCCTCCTCCTCCTCCTCCTCCTCCTCCTCCTCCTCCTCCGCCTCGTATCCGGCGCCGATGAATTCAGGCGGCTCGCGAGGCAACGGCCCAGCAGGTGGACAAGGCCCTTCCGGCTGCCCTGGGGGTCCCCTGCGGGGGTGCCGGTCCGTCCTGGAGGGATAAGCTCCCAGGGCCGAGGCGACCGGGAGGGAGGGGAGGAGGAGGGGGGAGGGAGGGAGGGAGGGAGTGAGGGGAGGGATTGAGGGGGGAGGGAGGGGAGTGAGGGGAGGAGGGAGAGGAGTCTACTTCAGAAGGGACTGGGGGGATGGGGGGGAGGGGAGGGGAGGCAGGGAGGGACGTAGGGGAGGGAGGAGGGACGGAGAGGACAGGCCAGAGGAGGCCGAGGACGGCGAGCACGCACAAGCCGACGAGGGGCAAGCAGGGCGCGCGGCACGAGCCGGGCGAACGGCCGCAGGCGAAGTGTCCGGGCGGGGTGGCCTGTGGGTGCTGGCGCCCGTGGCCAGTGCTGGGCCCCCCGGCTGTCCTGCATGCGCAGGAAGACCGCGCTGGATTCCAGCGCGGTCTTGAACGCCCTGGCCCCCTGCGCCGGCCAGCCGCGGCAGGGGGGCCGCTGCGCTCCCCCCCTCCTCCTCCTCCTCCTCCGCCTCCTCCTCCGCCTTCCTCCTCCGCCTCCTCCTCCTCCTCCTCCTCCTCCTCCTCCTCCTCCTCCGCCTCCTCCGCCTCTCGGCTCCTCCGCCTCCTCCTCCTCCTCCTCCTCCTCCTCCTCCTCCTCCTCTCTCTCCTCCTCCTCCTCCTCCTCCCTCGGCCTCCTCCTCCTCCTCTTCCTCCTCCTCCTCTTCCTCCTCCTCCTCCTCCTCCTCCTCCTCCTCCTCCTCCTCCTCCTCCTCCTCAGCAGCAGCAGCAGCAGCAGCAGCAGCAGCTGCGCTCACCCCTCCTCCCCACGTCCGCCCCCTGCGCCCTGTCGGCGGCGAGCGAGGGGGGAAAACGAGAAGGGGCGGGCCTTCTCGGAAGGCTCAGAAGTCCCCGGGCCTTCCGAAAAGTGTTTTGAGCCTTCCCCGAAGGCGCAGCAAAAGCCTTGCAGAAGGCGCGAGGGCTTCGGAGAAGTCCCCGCCGCCCTCCGAGAGAACCTTCTCCTGCTCTCTTTCCCCTCTCGCTCGCCGCCGACCCTGCCCCCCTGGCGCCATCGTGCTGCCACAAGGGGCGCAGAGCACGGTGACGGCATTGGAGAAGGAACCGTGGGACGAAGGGCCCAGGGTCTGAAAGCCGGTGGAACGCCAGTGGAGGCACTGGTCGATCACTGGAGGGCAGAGAACCACCCTCATAATAAGCACCCCGACGAGCGAAGCCTTTGGTACACGCACCCAGGGGAGGGATCGAACAGGGCAGGGCTGATTCGTAAACGCCCCGTGCTGCTTAGTAAGCGCCGATGGTGGGGGTCGGGGTACTTCATCCTCCCTTGAATCACCGCCGCCGTCACCATAAGGCCATGCGTCGAGGAGAGCCCTTGGCCACGGGGCCAAAACCAGCGGAACGCATCAGACGACGCCCCCGAGGAGGAGGAGGAGGAGGAGGAGGACGGAGGAGGAGGAGGAGGAGGAGGAGGACAAGAAGCCGTCCACAGGATCTGAAGCCGCCTGGGCACATTCCCGAACCGACGCCCCCGCCGCCAGCGGGCGAGGGCCCCCGCTCGCCGCGGCGAGCCTCGGCCACGAAGAGGCGCTCCCTGGCCCGGGCCAGGGCCGAGGCCCCCGCGAGCCGAGGCCCTCCGGGGCCGAAGGTGGCGCGCGCCGTCCAGCTGGCAGGCGCCTCGCGCCGACGCTCCGAGGGGAGCGCCGCCGTCGGCCGGCGGCGCCTCGGGGGGCGCCCTCCTCCTCCTCCTCCTCCTCCTCCTCCTCCTCCTCCTCCTCCTTCTCCTCCTCCCCCTCCTCCTCCCCCTCCTCCTCCTCCTCCACCTCCTCCTCCTCCTCCTCCTCCTCCTCCTCCTCCCCCTCCCCCTCCCTCTCCTCCTTCTCCTCCTCCTCCTCCTCCTCCTCCTCCTCCTCCTCCTCCGCCTCCCCCTCCTCCTCCTCCTCCTCCTCCTCCTCCGCCCCTTCGCCTCCTGCCGCGAGCCCCGCCCGCGGCCTGCGGCGGAGGGCCGGCGGCGCGCGGAGGGCGCCACTCTCGGGCCGCAGCCCTCGGGAGGCGTTGTCGTATGCGGCGCTTCGACGCTGCGCGGGAGGGGAGGGAATGAATGAATGCAAGCCGGGTGTCGAAGCACACGGGCAGTAGTGCAACACTATGGGCAGCAGTGTCGCACAGCGGCTTTCCAGGCTTCTGCTGGGATTGCCGCGAGCCGTCGAAAATCATACGCATTGCTCTCGCAGACTCTCTTCGCATGCTTGTACAATTCATTCGTCCATGACTGCCTCGGCCTCTGCGTAATGCGACTGTGTGCAACAGTGCGCCACATGGGGGAGGCTCCACCCGCTCGGAGCAGGCGCCAAAAACGGCCAAGATCTACTCCAGGGGGGGGGGGAGGGCGGGTTTGGGGGGGAGGGCGGGTCTGGGGGCCCGCGCCGATCGGCTGAACAAAGAATAACGAAACATGAGACCGGAGAAAAACCCTATCAAAGTTTGTTTAGGGCTATAGGGCTATGGGGCTATTGGGCTATAGGGATTTTTGGCTATGGGGCTATGGGGCTATGGGGCTATAGGGTTATGGGGCTATAGGGGTATAGGGCCATAGGGCCATAGGGCTATAGGGCCATAGGGCTATAGGGCTTTAGGGTGTAGGGCTATAGGGCTATAGGACTATAGGGCTGTAGGGCTATGGGGCTCTGGGGCTCTGAGACTCTGGGGCTATTGTGCTATAAGGCTAGAGGGCCATAGGGCTATGAGTCTAAAGGGCTATGGGGCTATAGGGCTACAGGACCATAGGGCTATAGGGCTATGGGGATACAGGGCTATGAGGACTATAGGGGGGCTATAGAGCTATAGGGCATATAGAGCTATAGGGCTATAGGGCTACATAACAATAGGGCTATAGGGCTATAGGGCTATAATGCTATAAGGCTATAAGGGTATAGGGCTATAGGGTTATACGGCTATAGGGCTATTGGGCTATAGGGCTGTAGGGCTATAGGACTGTGGGACTATAGGGCTACAGGGCTATAGGGCTACAGGGTTACAGAGCTATAGGGCTCTAGGGCGATAGGGATATAGGGCTATAAGGCTATCAGGCTATAAGGCTATAGGGCTATAGGACTATAGGGCTGTAAGGCTATAGGCCTGTAGTGCTATGGGTCTACAAGGCGATTGGGCTATAATGCTATGGGGCTGTTGGGCTATAGGGCTATGGGCTATAAGTCACCCGGGCACCAGGGCACCCGGGCACCTGGGCACCCGGGCACCCGGGCACCCAGGCACCCAGGCGGGCCGCGGAAGTCGGCGACAAACCTCACCTAACCATATGAATCCGCTAGGACCCCTAGAGAGGCAAGCTCTGATTGGGGGAACGATCACAAAACGGTCCTTGCTTCAGCGCCTTGACCCTGCGCTCGCACATGCGGCATCAAGGCCCCATTGGCCACCCCACTCGGCGGGGAGACGAGGATTCGACCCGATGGGAAGGGGACCCCTTCCCATCGGGTGGGGTCCCCTCCAAGGGGTGGGCGGGAGGAGCGGGATGCCAGACGTGAGGCGCGAGCGCGCCTACTGTCGGGGGCGCGCAAACATGGCTTAGCCATCCATGGATTTGGCGCGCGGTCTTGGCGCGCGGTCGCCAAATCCATGGATCGGGGGAGGTGCCCCTCCCAAAATGCGGCCGGTGCCGCCTCGCTCGGCGGCGGAAGCCCGCGACTTCCCCATGGGAACGGGGCCCGCCGCTGATCCACGCCCCCATTGATCCATGTTTGCGATCGCCTGATACGTAGCCTGCCCGTGCACCATGCTCCTCTCCGCTCCCCCATCCGCCTCCCCTTCCTCTCCCCCTCCCCTTCGCCCTCCGCGTCCGGGGGAGGGTCGCAGGATCCGGCGGCCCTGTCCAGGAGGGGGGCTCCAGGGCCGCGGCTCCCCCCACGCCGCGGCCCGCCCGCCTCGACGACGCGGGCGGCGCAGTACCGCTGGAGGTCGACCAGGAACGCGGCGTCCGACTTGTCCTCCTGGATCCACTGCGCGGCCCTCTTGGCGTGCAGGATGTCCTCCGCCTCCCGCTTGCTCGCCTGCCGGCGCCAGACCCGATGGCCAGCGCGCGCGGCGGCCGTCACAGCCAGAGGATTCTGCGCACCGCTCGGGCGCCTCGCGAGGCTCCGGTCGGACTCCTTCCGCGCCTGCCTGGTTCCTCCTGCGCCCCCTGCCCTGGCGCGAAGCTCTGCTGCCCCTCCTGCTCCTCCCCGGTTCACTGTTGCTCCTCCTCGCCCTCTTTTCCCTCTCTCTCTCTCTCTCTCTTTCTCTCTCTCTCTCTCTCTCTCCCTCTCTCTCTCTCTCTCCCTCTCTCTCTCTCTCTCTCTCCTCCCTTTTCCCCGTCGTCATCGTCGTCATCATCAACATCATCAGCAGCAGCAGCATCATCACCATCATAAGCAGCAGCAGCATCATCATCCTCATCATCAGCAGCAGCATCATCAGCAGCATCATCACCATCATCGTTAGCAACATCACCACCACCAGCATCTTCAGCAGCCCAAGTAGCACCATCATCGCCGTAATCAACACCAGCGCCCATCATCATCATCATCATCATCATCATCATCATCATCATCATCATCATCATCATCATCATCATCATCATCATCATCATCATCATCATCATCATCATCATCATCATCATCATCATCATCATCATCATCATCATCATCATCATCATCATCATCATCATCATCATCATCATCATCATCATCATCATCATCATCATCATCATCATATATCATCATCATCATCATCATCATCATCATCATCATCATCATCATCATCATCATCATCATCATCATCATCATCATCATCATCAACAATATCATCATCACCGTCATCATCATCAACACCATCGTCATCATCACCATGAGATGGTGCGTCTCTCAGCATGTGCAATATGCCTAAGAAGAGCAATGCGGCGGCTCGAACGGCGAAGCGGATGACATAAACAACGAGTGCATACTTAGCAAATTCCTGCAATCCTGGGTTTGCCGGGATGGGGAACAGCTTCGGCATTGAAGTGGCAATGAGAGGATTGCGTAGTCGATATCGCTGTGAACCCACTCGATCACGACTGTGCCTCGCACTACCATGATATAGCGCGCATACCAACAGCGGCGGTAGGTCCAAGGACTTTGCGGCGGCTCGGACGGCGAAACGGACGACACACATAGGACAAATAATGATTCAAATCCTGGTATTCCGAATCACAAATTAGGATGCTCTCTGGGGCTGGGAAAGTGTAGATTTCGGGGGGGGGGCGCGTGGCCCTCGTATTCAGAAGGAGGATGTGCACCAGCGATCTGCACAGGGACGGCGGACATTGCTGAGAAGTTCGAGTCCAAGCGGATCCATTCGGGGCGGTCGCTTTCGACTGTGTAATGAAGCCGCCCCGTTCGCGAGCACTCGCCCCGCCCTCGACACCGACGAGACAGCCGAACAGGGTCAAGCTCATCAGCCCGCCTACATAGGATGCGAGTGATTTTCCCCCACCTGGTTTTGAACTGACAAGCATCCACCGCGACCTGGAAGACGAGCGGCCCGCGGGACACGTCCTGCATCGCATATGTTTCTCAATGCGGGTTCTCGACGATCCACGCCCCCCCCACCCATTTTCTGACGCCCTCGGGGGACGCGCGCAGCTACACTCATCAAGAAGGTTCCCCTGGTCGACCTGGATTTGGTCACTAGCACTCAAGCCTGGCACTCCCGTCGGACAAGCGAGGCTCCGCTTAACTCTGTTCCGACCCCCAGCGATGCTGAAGCTCGCGCGAGGAAGCCCCATCATCACTGAAAGAATCTTGCCCGAACGAACGTGTGACATTACACCGCGGAATACACCCGTTCTGAGAAGGCCCCCCTTCTCTCCACTGCACGCATCAGACTATCTAGCAAGGAGGCCGCTCGGTTCGGCCGCGAAGCCGCTCGCCCCTTTGCCGCAGAAGAGGGGAAGGCACCGGCGCTCTCAAGCAAGGCGTCGCCATGGCCCCCTGGAGCAGGCACGCTCTGCCCAAGGGTCAGGATGTCCTCGAGCCGCCTCTCGCGATCGCCCGCGCGCGCGGGGGCAGCCGGCGGGGCAAAGGGGCGCCGAGTGGCTCGGACTCTCTGATTTGTCGCATCTCTCGACCGATATTTCGCGGCACCCCCCTCCCGCGCCCCGCGCCGGTCCACTTCCCCCGCCGCGCGGGCGACGGTCGCCCTGTCGATGCCCGCCCCGAGCCGCGCGCCTGATGAGGCGCCGGCTCGCGGAGGCAAGGGGGCATACCGGGCACGTCGACGGCATGTCAGGCGAGAGCACGAATCTTGAATCACGAGTGAGGATGTCTGAAACAAACGGCTGGCGGATTCCCCGCCCCCCCTGCGGGACTCTGCAATGGCATGCGGTCTTGGTTGGCGAAAGCGGGAGCACGATGAGAAACCTCCAGCGAAACGCGCCGGGGGAGCGAGGCGGTGCCCCCCCTGGAGCCCCACACTCGGGGTTTCCGCGACGCTCGCCTTCAGGCTGAGGCGCCTCGCGAGGTCCTCGTCGAACTCGGCGCGGTCGTTGATTTGCCCGCGGATGTTGTGCAGCAGCTGCTGCGCGCTCTGCCAACGCAGGCGAGATGCGGCCACCAGCTGGCCGACGTCCTCTCGGCGGACCCCCCCACGGCTCGGCTCGGCTCGCCCGCGCGGAGGGCTCCATTCAGAGGAGGCTTCGGAGGGGGAGGCCGCGGAGGACGAGGAGGCCTCGGGAGAGGAGGGGGCGGGAAGGGGGCGGCGGGGGAGGTGAGGAGGTGTAGAGACGAGGGGGGGTGGGGAGGCCGACTACCACTTTTATCACTTTTGGTTTACATTTTTTTGCCTTGTCGCCATTTCGTCTCCGCTCAAATGCGTCACTAGCCACGGGGTTTCAACCGCCACCCCCCCAGCTCCGGGACCGGGTACTGCGAGGGCTTTGGTTTTGGCCGCACAGTGTCCGTGGGCCACGATCAGATGATGAACGCCGCGCCACCTCCCCAGCGGCACAACGGCCAGAGCCAAAGGCCAGCGTTCAGAGACGACACTGCCCCTGAAGTTCATTGCATACCCTGAGACAGCAGGGACAAGCCACCCAGGCCCTGCACGGAGGTCAACCCACGCCTCGGCAACAGCCACATGCCTCCGAGTCAAAAGACGGAGGCGAGCTTCAAAGTTTTGCTGGGCCGTGTCAGGCAGGCTCAGCCTCACTTAGTGGTAAGCACGCAGGAAAGCATCACACATGCACGCACACAGCAGCGACACATTCGGGGAAAGAAGATAGAGCTGAATCAGCGTGGCGATCCATGGAATCATCACAGGGGCAATTGGAAACGCAGTGCCCATCCATTGGACACATTACTCGCGGAAGCGATGGCAGAATTTGTAATGACGTAGATCATCATAGTCCCGAGACATATCAAACCCATATTCCCGATGAGCGCACCCAAGGATACGGCCACGAGGATGAGACTGGGAGCGAGCACTCGTACACACAGCACGCGTGCAGGTACGAAGAACACACGTAGCAAGGCAAGGGGAAGTCGCCGCTGCGTTGCGTCGGTTTTGAAGGACAAGATGGGAGAGATTACTGCGATCCACTTCAGGCAGCCACTTTCTCAGTCGATACTGAAAGCCTTCAAACACCGTAGGTCCGGGAAGAAAAAGGGCGTGGAGACGGGCGTAGAGCTTCCGCTGGGGAGCATCAGGGGGAAGATCGGAGAGCTGCACAATATTCTGGACACTCTGCACCACCTCAAACATCTTAAGTAAAAACGACCTGCGATGCCATCCCCGTGGGTCGACAACTCTCGCATAACGTATTGCGCTGCTCTCAGTGAGCTTCAGCAGCTCGCCCCAGCACTCGCGAATGCCAGGGCGCTTCACAGCGAGACGGGCGCGGCAGGCGCGCGAGGGAGCAGCAATACCTGGGGACTCGATACTGAACCCGAGCTTCTGGAGCGAGACAAGCATGTCATACGAGAACGCATTGCATGGGCCATTCGTAGGGCTTTGTAACACGTGCTTGCATATACGCATGACCTGCGGCGTGACTGGTTCAACCGGGAGGACAGACTGGAGCGCAGAAAGGCACATTACCAAAAAGGTAGAAACTGTCATCGCATATCCAGGGGCGAGCTCTCGGACCATCGCACATCTTGCAACAAATTTCGACAGCGGGGCACTCCGTGCCACACCAGCAGCATCTGGGCCAATATACAGCCCCAAGTACTTGATAGCAGAACTTACCCCCACCAACTCCAAGCCCCTCGCCTCCTTGGACATCATGTCACTGACCTCCTCCTTCCTAACCCTCCCACATATCAGAACAGTGCACTTGCGAAAGTTGAGCGCCGGCCCAATAGCTGACTCGAGGACGAGAAGCATGCGCCACGCGGAAGTAGTCGAGCGAAAGACATCCACCATTCCATCAAGACAGTCGTCAGCATATGCAAGGCACAGAGCAACATGGGGGGGGGGGGGGGGCATGTTGCATCCATCGCAATACAGGATCAATGCAAAGACAAAAGAAGGCCATAGAGCTAGGGTCGCCCTGACGCACCCCCCTCTGGAAAGGAAAGCTTCCGAACTCCTGCCCGCCGGGAGTTACCGCGCCCTGGCTATTCTTTTAGAGCATGAAGTAGAAGTTAGTGATGAAGGAGGGGGGCATTCATAGTATTGCACACAGCAAACATCCAAACATGCAGAAGCGACGGGAAAGCAGCGGAGAAATCAGTCGAGAGGATGGCAGCCGAGTCACGCACGAGCAACTCTTGTTGCAGCCCCCAATTTTCTGCCTGCGCTACATTCGTGAGCATTTGTCTACCTATAACACACTTCTGGAGGGGTGCGACAGTCACTTTAGAGAGCTCATTCAATGGGTGGCAGGACGCAGCAGAGAGGATCTCCGCATCGGTGATAGACATGGAGAGCGGGCGCGTGCATGCTGCATCCGGAATAACGTTCCCTGTCCCGTCCCCCTCCTGCTCACCCGTAGGTCGGACAACCATCAGTAGTTCCCCCATATCGTCAGGCAGCTCTGAAACATTTCCATCGGTAATCGCAGGATAAAAATTGTAGAAGTATCTCGGCACATCTCCAATCCGCCAGCACGCATATGGAATACCGTCTGGTCCGGGCATCGAGTTGCGGCAGTGTCGTATATGTTCAAAAAAGTATCATATTCAACCTTCCAGGAAACCCCGAGGTCCCCGGGAACCATCTGAACATGTTTCAGAATTTTCGCCCACCTGGAACGATCTTCCGTAGCTGGCGAAATTAAGCACCGCCCCAATATTCAGCAAGCACGTTGGCCGACTGCTCGAGTGTAGTTCAGGGGCTTCTGTTAGCGTCTAGTGCGGCAGTGAGATAGGTTCGCCTGCTGAATTTCCTCCAAAGCTCAATCTTCCTCCGTATTTTGCTAGTGCAGCTTTCTTGGTATCATCGTCATGCTGTTATCGTTCTAAATCTCCGCCTCCTCAACTAAAATCTTACCATAAACCTCCTGCGTCAATTCGCAAAGACCATGGCGGTCGTGACAGAGCAGGGTCTCGCAGTCAAAGAACCTCTGAAACTCTGGATAGCAACTGGCAGCCTTGCGCGCCACGTGGCCCTGCTGCGCACGCACCCCCCTCAGGGCTACCATGCGCCAGTGATGCTTCAAACCAGTGTCGAGACAACTGGATTGGAAAGGAGATGCCGCGCGCGCTTGACCACTGAGCACACGATCGCCTTAACAGCCTTCAGAGTACCAGCAGCATCAAGCGAATGAAACTCCACGGCTTTGTTGTTAAGCTCCGTGCCAAGTAGTTCTTGATAGACTTCGTTCTTATTCGTTCTTGCTAATCCAGTTGGGGGCCCCGCTATTCAGGCCAGCGGGGGGCTTCAAAGTGTCAATCGCGACCAACGCTGGGATATGATCAGGGACGCGGGCCTGAGAGAGCTTACCTATAACTGAAGCACGAATAGTAAGGTCAGCCGCGACCGCCGATGGAATGTTGGAGCACATGCGATCGAAACGCGCAGCGTGGGCAATGTTCCCGCCCCTCATCTCCCGACGGGTGTCATCTGCTTGAAAGAATTCAATCCAGTCCGATCACTTCTGGTCAAAGAGCGCGTGGAAACGCGTGCCACCTCGGGACCAACCCGCCCCGTCAGGACACATCCTCCCTTCCTCCTCCAAGGTAAACTTCCAGCCCCCCAAGATAATTGAAAAAAAACACTGCTCGGCAGGGGGTAAAACCTCAAGTAGCTCGTCAAGGCTGGATGCATAGACTGCTCGCGACTCGCACGTGTTCGGCGCATGGACATTCCTGATGGCCAAAATCCCTTTGCCCCCCCAACATGACACTCATTAGCATCCTGCCTTCCTGAATCGCACGGCGTTGAATGGCATGAAACTGATGTGCAAGATCAGCAGCGCTGAAAGTGACAAGCCCTCCAGCCCTGGTGGAGCCCTGAAACATAGTGCAACCCACATTCTCATGTCGAAATTCTTGTCGTATACAGTTGGCGTCGGCGATAGTCCCGTGAGCCCCTGAACACAAACAATGTCGCGGCGCTTACAGAGTCCGAGGAATTTCTTGCATCTAATCGAGGCATTCATCTGACGACGGGCCCGCGCCGAGCCGAAGAGACCAGGTTCATTCCAGGAAACGATATCAAGCGAGGAGGTGGGGAGAAAAGGCTGCTGGTGCACTGCATGCTGGCCACAGGGCCGGTCGGGGAACCGTCAGAGGCGGCAACGGCTGCAAAAAATGGGGATCGTCTGGCTGGCTAGCCAGATCGTGAACAGCGTCAGGAGAGCAAGAAGAAGAGGCGCTCGACGTGGACGAGGAGCATGAAGACGATGAGCATGTGATCTGCGAGTTCGTGTTTGTGGCAAGGTCCGCTGTCGTCCCCGCGCAGCGTGCCACCGAAGAAGCTGGCGTCGGAGACCATCAGCGTGCACTGCCACATCCGTCAATCCACTGCTGCACCTGGTCTACGGGAATGCCCCAGGAGGCGAGGTCGCTCTCGTTGGGCTTGGGCACCAGCCCGCCGAGCCCGTCCTGTTCATCTTTTGCCGGGATGAATAAGTCATCGGATGTGCGGATGAAGAACTCGTGGCGGAACCTGTTTGCGCCGATCTTATAGTCGGCTTGGTACTTGTTGTTATTCTTCAAGAACTGAACGATCGGCGCCCATAAATGTGACATGCGTCTCTGTCGATGGCGGACGTCATCTGGGAGGTCGGTGCGAATACGCAGAGCATGACATGATCCGTCTCGAGCACCCTTCCATTGAACTAGAACCACGCGCGCGCTTCGCGCGCGCTTAGGTTCTAGCTAGGATCGTCACCGTCGCCATCATGAACATCACCATCGCCATCATCCCCCCCGCCAGGGCTAATGTACATCGTTTCTGGATGCTTCTGGCCGGAATACGAAAGGAGTTTCTGTAGTGAGAGTCTCTGGGGGAAGTCGCGGGGCCCCTCAGGATACGCACGGATGCCTCTGATAATCCCCCAGCGTGCCCCACGAGATGGCCAGAGGGTGCCCGAACAGAACCCGAGGACGTCGACGACGGCGGCGATGAAGACGGCGGCGATCGCGGCGACGAAGGTAGCGGCGGTTGCCATGGGTTAGTACCCA